CAATTTGACAATAAATTTCATATTTAAAAAATAAATAAATAAAAGGACTGAAAAAAAAAAGCCATTTAAGAACATAAGCACATGGAAATGCCTTGGAGGCTCAGTTGGTTAAGCGTCCCACTCATGATTTCAGCTCAGGTCATGATCTCAGGGTTGTGAGATTGAGCTGGGAGTCAGTCCCCACCCTGGGCATGGAGCCACTTAATATCATCTCTCTCTCCCTCCCCCTCCCCCTACCCCACCCCCCTCCATAAAAATTATAACAAAAACAAATCAGTAAATATTAGTAAAAAATTTTTTTTAATCTCAAGACTTATAAATTGATCACAAAATTTGAAGTGGAACAACTTTTCCTAAGCCTGAATTTCCCGAATATTTCCTGTCTTTCATAAGAATTAGGTCCTAATGATACCAGCATATTTCCTATTTAAAGCATAATTAATTTACAATTTTTGTAGATGCACTAGCTTTCTATCACTCGATTCCATTACAGTGATTTTGGGGAGTGAGAGCAGCAAGATGGCTAATAAGAGCCCCCTGCTTGAATCCTCCCTCTACAACCATTTGGCATCCACCCACACACAAAAGTACCTCCGTGGAAGCTTCAGGATCCAGCTCCTTGCACCAGGGGACCTGGGAGGAATATCCCCCATGCGTTTGGTCATAGGCATAGAGACCTCAGTCTTGTTACCAGGGACTCTGAAGTGGCCTGTGGACTGGCTGTATTCCCTCCTCGGCCACAGTCCAGGAGCCAGGGGAGAAGCCTCATTTAGACCATCACCCACACATGACAAGCTTTGTGGAAGTCCAGGCGTGAAACAGAGATGTCCCATCACACTGTTGGAGAGAAAAAGCAATCCAAGTGTGGACACATTGGAGAGGTTAAAAGTCACAGTTTAACTTTACCTGCATCACATCCATCCAGGTTTTTTAAAAAAATCCTCTAAGGAATTGTGCCTGCAAGAATGTTGACATGTCCTCCGTGAACCCAGGCAAGAGGAAGTATATATAGTCCCTGCGGCACACTTCTGCTTGTTCCACGCTCACATTATTTACACATATTGTGCATTATCGATTCATCTTCCGCACATTACTAAGTGAAGACATCTTCTACACAAATTAAACCTTATGAATGAGGTTGGCATGAGCCAAGGGGGACTGGAAAAGCCCACCATATTAGAAGAAAAGTTGCTAAGTGTTCAGCATTTGAGAATGATGAGCACATAAAAGGCCACATGATTCTTCTGTGCACAAGAAAATAAATTATGAAAGCTTTGTAGGCTCTAGAAAGCTAGGTGAGTCACCGGAGCATGGCATGATATTTTTGAATGCTGGCAAAATGGCTTCAGTTCTCTTTCGGGTTCTTTGGCTAAATCAGCTCTATTTACATTCCTCACCCAGCCCCGCCCAAACTCTCAGGAATCCATACAAATCCTCCAGGCAGTTTGGGTTTATCTTTTCTGATGAATTAAGATACTTACTAGTTAAGCTATTGCTTTCCAGCTTTCAGTTTCTTGAAAATGCTTATTTCCCATTTCCTCTCCTATCCTCTTCAACCTTGCATATTAGGGCGAGTTTTTTCTTTTATGCCATTCTAGTGAGGTTTTAAGTGTAAGCAGAGAGAAAAAGGATAAAGGTCCCTCTAAATATGCCTATGTCTTAGTTCCAAGAACCGGAACTAGCTGACCTGGAGTGGTGAAGGGGCTTTGCAAATGAGATGAAGGGTAGTGACCTTGAGATGGGGAGGCTGGTGGGTCCAGTGTGACCATGAGTGGATGAAAGCACGGATGTTTCCTGACTGCAGTGGGTTAGAGACCCACAGAATAAGGTGAGACGTGAAGCATGAGGACCCAGTTGGCCTTTGCTGGCTCTGCAGATGGAAGAATGCGGCCCACGCCAAGGAATGTGAGTGGCCTCTAGAAGCTGAAAACAGCCCTCAGCTGACAGCTGGCAAGGGAATGAAGACCTCAGGCTCATAACATCAAGGACCTGAATTCTGCCGACAATCTGAATGGACACAGTCTTGGGTCCTTCCGTCTAGAAAGGAAACGCAAAAAGTAGCACTGCCCTGCTGACATCTTGATTGTAATTGGAAGAGACCCGTGTGGCACTTGTGACCTACAGAGCTGTAAGGTAATAAATTGTGTGGTTTAAGCCCCTAAATTCATGACTTATTACAGCAGCAACAGGAAACAGATATTCATATTCAAATACCCTGTTTAACTGGCAGACCCAATTTTGTGTTGGGATATCCAGCCTATCTGGATGTTTCTGTTTCTATCCTAACCCACTCCTCCAGCGTTCACCTTGCCCTCCAAGTGTTTATACATTCACAGTGGACGAGAGCCCTTCTTACATATTTACCTTTATTCCTAATTCTGAGGTTGTGGAATGAACTCCACCCTCATGAGAGCCAAAGCAGAAGCTTTGTCATCTCAAACACAAGACAAACACGGAGAAACAACTTTTCTCTCTCAATGACCAGTAATGGCTTTCAAAATACTCCAGCCCTCAGATTCATGAGCGTGACTCTGTACTTGCTGGTTAATTTTGTGACCTCTTTTCCCTGGGGAAACAAACCTCACCTTCATGTTCTGGTTTCATGGTCAAAGGGCTTGATGGAAAAACAAGGAACTGCAGAGGAAGAAAAATTGCGACTCGGTTAATATTTTTCAAAATGCTGCACCACAGCACCATTTTATTATTAAGGCCACAAAGTCTTTCCTCGTCCAGTTTTGAGCAACACAGCATTCCATTTTCCTCTAGTTTGGCTATGGTTTGAATGTTCTTACTTGGATTTGACATTTGAAGTAACTGTCTGAATTTTATTCTTGGGGGAGGGGGGTGTTTCATATCTTGCTTAGTCCTTGTGGGTCATGAGGTGATCTTGGAAGTGGAAACTTCATGTCAAGGACAATGGAGCAAAGAGGTGAAGCGGCCTGGATCTTCTATGGTTTGTGGTGTCCCTACACTGGTTCGGGACACCTAATCCTCAGTCTTCCACATGAACAAATATTGACCCGTCCTACTTTAAGCCGCTATTTTCTTTGTTGTTGCTGTCATCATGCATTTGAAACGAATCCGAACTGAAACACCAGCCGAAGTGCATATTAATGGAGAATGGTGGCTTAAGAAGTCTCTATTTTTTTTATTTCTCACGTGCTCTCTCAGGAAGCCTGGTGAGTTGTATGTTACCAAAATGAGGTCGTTAAGAAAGAGGGAGGGGTCGGATCTAGGAACTGGGTGCTCTGATCTTGGAGGAACTGAAGTGCCACCGTGCTGGTGAAGAGAAGTCCCCAGTGCTGCTGTGTATGGCCCTGGAGCACAGCATGCTGGTGCAGAGGCTGAAGACTTTCGGAGTTTCCACGGAGGAAAAGCAGCTACTTCCAGGATGCTTAGGATGAGTGGCTTCAGCTGCGGGTGCATTCTTGGGCTCTACCCTTGTACCGCCCGATGTGCCCCCATTCTGTCCCAAGTAGAAAGAGGAAAAGGTGACAAAAAGTATACAGTTCTGGTATTCTGGTTGTCAAGGAGCTAACTGTCCCCCTTAAAAGGCTTTCCTTTTTGGAATGCCCCAGATGAACTGAATGAAATTCCTTCCAGTAGTCAAAGGGAGGAAAATAGGAGATGAAAGCCAAAGCTCCACATGTAAGCAACTGCTCGCCTGGGGCAACACATCTTCTCTCCCTTCCACCTCTCCACGACTCAGGATTGCATTAAGCAATCTCTTGCAAAAAGGTAACTTGTATTCAGTTTTCAGAGCTTCACCTGTGTCTGCTGTTTCTTAAAAATAACCAGTTTAAAATAACGAATATGCCATAGAGGCAGATCTTCCAGTTGGCAAAATTTTCTCCCCTTCGTAAGAGACATTTACACGCATGAGGGAAGTCTCCATTTGTAAGCCTGTCCTCCTCTCTGGATGTGGAAGAGAAGGATGACTTTCAGCCCCTAGAAAGTCTTTATCAAGGGAGCCTGCAGCAGAAATCTGCATAACGACCATGCCTTGGTCCACTGTGCCTTTCCTGGTGACTTCCCATAACGGGCCTTCCCTTCCCTTTCCACATCTTTTGTCTTCAGCTGAAGATGTCATTGGAGGAGATGGCTTGGGCCACTTGGGGGAGTTCCTAAGTTTTCCTGGTCTCTCCCAGGTATACTGGAGGTATACATGTTGGGAAACTTCAGTTTGTTTTTCTCCTGCTAATCTGTCTTTGATTGCAGTGGCGGGGGGGGGGGGTGTGGGGGGGGTCTCAGACAAGAACCCAGAAGGGGAGAGGAAAAGGCACTTTTTCTCCCTATACTATCCTGGATACCCAAGAGGACAATACCTTCTTCCTTCCCTCATCCTTCTGTTGGGTGTCCCTAACCTCTTGTTTTTCTTGACTTCTTTTGTCATGAAGGAATAACCACTTTCACTCAATCGAGCTCCAGGTCACCCTTATCCCTGAACGTCAAGACGAAGACCCACTCCTGAAGGATGTTTGCCTGAGCCGCTGAGTCCTTGTGCCTTTTCCTTACTCTGAGCTCTAAGGCACTAACCAGTGTTCTGTTAGGTCTTAATCCTTGCTGGCCTCAGTCTTTGCTGTATCACATCGTGGAACCTTTCCTTGGGCTCCACCGCTGGTAAGTGTGATCTGCTGACTCAGCCCCTCTAAATGAATATATACTGTCCTCTGGATCAGGAAGAGGCACGGATATGAATACATCCTAGGGACTTTATAATCCCCTCATCCAAGGGAAGTTATATCTCTAAATGATCTTCAAGGGGAGCTTGGATGGCTCAGTCGTTTAAGCGTCCAACTCTTGATTTGGCTCAGGTCATGAGTTTGTGGTTCGTGAGATCGAGCCCTGCCTTGGGCTCAGTGCTGGCAATGGGGAGCCTGCTTGGAATTGTCTCTCTCTCTCTCTCTCTCTCTCTCTCTCTCTCTGTCCCTCTCTGACCCTGAAATAAATAAACATTAAAATGGTCTTCAAGATACTAATGGCAGAATATAATATGACATATATTATATTCGAATTTAATCTAAGGGAACACTATGGCCCGGAAGCCTGCCTGGCATTACCAGACATGTCAGGATATGACTCATATTACCCATGTAAAACTACCATGCAGACACAACAGGCAGGAATAAGAGGATATAAGGAGGCAGAAGGAGGGACGATTCTGGAAGCTGAGTGCCCGTCTTGACGGCAGGACCACCTTCTCTAATGAGAGGAGCCACCAGCTTTCCAGGGGGCGCTTGTTCCATTTTGCAGTGATGTGGAGGCCAAGGTCTTGGGTCTTGCTTGAGGAGTTTGGTTTTGCCTAAGTAGACAGGTCAGAGACCACCCTGTGTTCACCAACTCCTGCTTTCTGTTCTCCTTGGGCATACAGCGAGACTATATTTCCCAGTCTCCTTTGCAAATAAGGGACCACATGACCACATTATGGCAAATAGCATGTGGATGGAGCAGAGCTCCACTTCTAGGCCTGGCTCTTAAAAACCTTCTGCAGGAGCTTCCATGCAACCTTCTCCCATCTGTTGGCTGGATGCAGAGGAGGCTCTGGGAGATGATGGAGTTATAGATAGATGTATGGTGCTTGAATCATGCATGGCATGGGGGTGTTCGCCAACCACCCGCAGTGAAATCTATTGTGAATGAGAATAAGCTTTAATTGTGTTTGACATTTTTCTAAATCTCTGCATTGTTGCTACAGCCGTGAGTCTACTGAATAACTGGGAAGGCAGACTAACTGGGTTGTCTATAACCCGTAGTGGGGTGGGAAGAACAGTTCGATCACTGTGAAGAGACAAATGGAACCACAGGAATGGAGTATAACACACTGCAGAGCCCTCGGGTTGGTTGTCAGTTTATTTGGCTGAGACTTGAAACTTCTCAGGACAGAGAGATCAAGGGGAGAATAGAATGGTCCTCAGCCAGGGCAAGGGAATAACTCAACAGGTAGCCAGGCAGCACTCTTCTTAGACTACATAGGCATCCTCTAGCCCACATCAGTGGTGGGGCAGCTAGAGCCTAGAGGTTTAGCATGGATTTAAAGGGTTCTCTGGAAGAGAAAAGTCAGGTGGTTAAAAGTCAGGGAACACCCATTCCCAAACTTAACAACACCCCTGGCCCCGGTTAACGGGAAAAGGAATTTGTTCTGTAATTCAGGGGTTACCCACTTTTAAGCAATTTCTCCCAAGAAGTTTGCCAATTCATCACACAGGTGGAGACTGGGCCTCGTGGGCCTGCCTGAGACAAGGGGCCCACACAGAGGCCAGACTAAGGAGTCCATAATCGGGGCCTTGGACAAAGGAGGGATGAATAACTGATGGGTGACCTTTTGGGGGAACTGAATGAGAAGGGAGAAAAGTGGAGCCCTCCATGTTTGTGTCTTGATTTATTTTGCCCTGAATGTCAGCCTAGGTACAGAGATAGTAGGGCATTGACTTATGCTGCCTGTTTCTTTGTCCGGGATTTGGGTGACTTCCGTTCCAGGTCCCACCTTCTGAATGAGGGTGACCAGTAGTGAGGAAGCATATCTAGGCCCGACCTTGCCACTCCAAACAACTCACTCATTGTCCAAGCAGATGTTTCCACAGAAGGTCCAGCAGCATGTATGATTGGGAGATAAACACTCCTGTAATCTAGTGCACCTCTTCTCACAGTACTGTAACAGAGGCTGTATCCAGCACTGCTCGACCACTGTTCTTCCAACTGAAACTGAGACAATAGATGTTGGCAGATCCACCCACCCACAACTTAGAGAAGAAACCCTTCTCAAGCTTAACTATCCCCAAGCTCTGGAACCTGAGCTTGAAGTCACAAACAAAACATTTCTCTGCGTTTTAAGAAAATCCTTTTCTTGAGTTCTAGTTGTGTCTGTTCACAGGAGACCATTCTTGCACGCCATGCCTTCCCTCTCTCCCCACATCCCTACAGCACTGCAGGCATTCGGGTCCTCCCCAAGCTCCCTAAAGATAGGACCCAGGACAACCTCATCATCTAATGGCACCACTTCACCAAGTCTATTCTCATGGGACGTTGGATTTCAGGGCCTGCAATATACTGTAGCTCCAATTTCCACACCCAGTTTGCAGAATGGAAGACTGAGCTGGGGGAGAATAGGCACCTATATTTCCTCTTGTCTATTTGCTTCCTTGCTGGTACCACCTAAGCACTCAGCCTCTCCCCAGATTCCCAGTACCCTCCTTTTACTATCCCCATTTTATCCTCTGACCCCAAACTTAGACTCTAAGGATCCCTTATTAGTTTTTTCCAGTTTTCATATTCCAAGGAAATAATATTGCCCTTTTGGTATTCATCAAAGGCACAGAGATTCCGAAAAGAAGGGCTCAGAGGGAAGCTCTGTGTTGGTGCTTCCCCTACCTAAGGTAGTCTACCTTTGTCAAATATCATTTCCCACAAGCTTATGGAATGGACTTATGGACTGAACTATGTTCCCTTTCCATATACCCATGATTGTTGCTTTCAGAGATGAGAGGGGGAGCATGGAGGGGCACTTGATTGGCAACATCCAACCAAAATCTTTCTTGGGTGTCTCAGCTCTAAGGAGGGTTGGGATCCGGGAAAGGTGGTCCCTGAATCAGCTACACCAGACATCCCGGGCCTGGGCAGAGACCCCTCCTCCCTTGCCATACCACCTACAAAATGTCTTGTTCCTGAGGCCTCCCAGCACAGGCAGAGGCATCACAACCCCATAGATGATCACGTTGAGTAGGAGAACCCAGGGCTTCATGGTAGTAGTCTCTATGCGTGTTTGGGTTAAGTTCTGGTCTTCTCCCAATGCTGCCAGAGGTACAACAGGAATTAAGGAGAGTAGGATCAGAAAGAGAGAGAACATGCTTATGAATATTGGGTTATTCTTTCTCCTACTGTCCCTTTACACCCTCTGTCACCCAACAACATATCAAACTAGCCATTGGCTTCCCAAGGCTCCTTCCCCATCTCACATTACAGCCACTTCCTTTGCAAAATTTTTTCATTTAAAAGTGTATTGCGAGAGGGGCACCTGGGTGGCGCAGTCGGTTAAGCGTCTGACTTCAGCCAGGTCACGATCTCACGGTCTGTGAGTTCGAGCCCCGCGTCAGGCTCTGGGCTGATGGCTCAGAGCCTGGAGCCTGTTTCCGATTCTGTGTCTCCCTCTCTCTCTGCCCCTCCCCTGTTCATGCTCTGTCTCTCTCTGTTTCAAAAATAAATAAACGTTGAAAAAAAATTTTTTTTTAAAAATAAAAGTGCATTGCGAGAAAGAATGAAGTCTGGCCATTTGTAGCAACATGGATGGAACTAGAGGGCATTATGCTAAGTGAAATAAGTCAGGCAGAGAAAGACAGATACTATATGTTTTCACTCATATGTGGATCCTGAGAAACTTAACAAGACCATGGGGAAGGAAGGGGAAGGGGTAAAAAAAGTTACAGAGAGGGAGGGAGGCAAACTATAAGAGGCTCTTAAGTACTGAGAACAAACTGAGGGTTGTTGGGGGGTGGGGGAGAGGGCAAAGTGGGTGATGGGCATTGAGGAGGGCACCTGTTGGGATGAGCACTGGGCGTTGTACGGAAACCAATTCAACAATAAATTATATTTAATAAAAAATAAAAATGCATTGCGTTTTCTGATTAAAAATCGATAAATCTTCAGTTTGTATAACTAGTCAAACAACAAAAAATATAAGAAGGAAATAGATAGGCATTCGTAATTGCACCACCCAGAGATAACCAGTGTATGTGTATCCTTTTTGTTGCCCTCAATATTTTTATGAACCTGGATAATAGAACCCACCAAGTGTCCTGAATATTTTTTTTTTACTTCAGAACATATATAATAGGATAGTATAATGGAAGTGTTAGTCTAGACGCTATGACAGAGTGCCAGAGTGAACTCAAAATGAGTTACGAGAGATGGGTTACTCAGTAGGACTTGAGAAAGTTGACAGCCAAGAACGGGTCAGGGACCTCTTAAACGTTGATCTAATCAGATGACCCAAAGTTAAAGGAGTTGTAGAGAGGCCTTCAACGATTTTATTAGTACAAAGCTCTGCTCGGGAAGCAGGGAAGCTGTCTTCTAATTCCAAGTTGAGAGAAAAGGCTTTGTGGATACTACTCATAGAGCTTACTGTGTGTCCCAGAAGTTTGTAGGGATACCATAGATCTGAGTCATGATTGAGGCTCTAAAGGGTGAGGGATCTGGCCAGAATGGCCTTTAGTAGCAGAGAAGAGGGCTGCAGTTGGGGCACATCTAAATTGTAAATGGCCAGATAGTGTTTTGTGTCTGCAGCGAACCCTTGGAATCTCCCACGAAAAGGCGCCAGCAGCACAAAGCCAGCTTAGGATAGCATCTACTGTGTGAGAGCTGTCCTACTTCCTCCTGTTGGTTCTCCCTGCCTCTACTCTCTAGGAAGCAGAAAAGTTTTTTAGCCAGATGGGGGTGACAGAACAGAATCACAAAGAGCCCAAGCTAGAGCTTCTGAGGGAGGAGCGAGTTCACAGTTCTCAACAATTGGTGGAGTTGTGGTTCGTTACATGGACCTGCACATTTAACTATTAGGTTGAGATGTTTTGTGACTGAGCAGTCACACAAAAGGTGGGGCTCCTGCCTACATCTTCCAGGAAGAGAAAAGAAACAACTAGCCATACTGAATAAAGAATAGACACAAGGGAGACAAAATAATATGATCACATCACACAAGTCATGCCAACAAGCCAACTATAAATATCACGATCAATCCCCCAGAGATGGTTAAGGAAATCGTTAAGGAAAAAAGAGGGAAGCAGAAGATGAAATAGCCTGCTGACAACTGGCAGCTGAGGGGTGGGGGGAAGATAATTACCAGTCAATCTTCCCAGTGCTCTACTGTCTGCCCCCTTTAACCTTTATCTTCTGCTTTGCCGTCCTGAAACCAGAAAGGAAGGAAAACAAAAGAGCCCAAGGAAAGGTCAAAATTCTAATGTTATGATTGCATCGTCACAGGTAATGATTGTTCCTGTCCCTGAAGGTCTTTATATTTGCTCAGAAGTTTTCAACCAAGCAGAAGAGACTCCTCTGCCCTGTCCAGTATGGTGGCCCTTCCCATATGTGACTATTTTAAGTCAACTTAAAATTCAGCTTCCAGTCCTTTCAAGCATTCCATAGCCACACGTAGCTAGTGGCTATTACATTGGGCAGCTCAAACATCAAACATTTCTATCATCACATAAAATGCTACTGAAAAACGCTGCTCTGGACGAATCAACCAAAATGCCTCTGCTCAAAAGCAAGTGTAAGTCATACAGATCATTTAAAAGGTGCGAAATGCTTCCAAGGGGCCTTTGGAAACTTACTCTCCTTTCAGAATAAGTGAAATTTGGAAGCCGGAAAAATGCAAGTTTTAGGCATGTGAATCTTTGGCACGCTGACTTTGAGCAGGTTGGATTTAGGAGACCTGAAGGGAAGAGGAGAGAAGGAGATTGTGGGGAGAAACAAAGGAGAGCAGCTTTAAATGTAAAAGATCAGATGCCGGGGGGGCTTCCACTCTTAGGTGCTTACATCTGCGCTCCCACATTCTCCATTCAGAAACTGTGTCCCTGCCAGCCTGCCTCAGCACGGCTTGATGAAGGAAAACTGCCAAGTGAAGGCATTGGGGCTCATTTGCCATGGGGCAGTGTTTACCAGAGGATACAACCTGACTGGTGAAGCTCCAGGGCAAAGGCAAACTCTCTTCGAGCACGACAGGTTTCCAGAAATCCTATAAATCACTCACGTTGTTTGCACAAGCACGCCAGCTCAAGGTGGCAGGGTGTCCGATTCCTGAGCCTGGCTCAGACTGTTTCTGTGGTCCTCTGAGGGCATCGGCACACGGCAAGAGAGACACGCGATGCCGACGCTCCGTCCTCCACTTACAGGTGGGGATCTGAGGTAGGAGGTAGCTGGGTGAAGGTGAGCACGCACCGGGGTAGAGCTGGGGTCCTGGAAACTGCCTTTTGCACAAAGAAGGAGGAAGACTGGTGCACAGTAAATCCAAAGCCAGGGGTTCCATGCAGCTATTTATTTGTATCTAAAAATTGCACTCTCGGGGCGCCTGGGTGGCGCAGTCGGTTAAGCGTCCGACTTCAGCCAGGTCACGATCTCGCGGTCCGTGAGTTCGAGCCCCGCGTCGGGCTCTGGGCTGATGGCTCAGAGCCTGGAGCCTGTTTCCGATTCTGTGTCTCCCTCTCTCTCTGCCCCTCCCCCGTTCATGCTCTGTCTCTCTCTGTCCCAAAAATAAATAAACGTTAAAAAAAAAAAATAGCACTCTCCACCTAAGTTGTCCAGAACTTTGAGATCTGTTCATTGACAAGGCCTTGCCCTTAGTCCAGTTTTCTGCGTTCCTTACTTGCCCTCAAAGGGTGTTGAGGATCCTGGGGGTGTCCTATCCCCTTCTTCGCACACCTCAGGTGCCCTCACTGAGCCAGAGAAGAGAAATAGAATCACGCCCAGGCTGGGCACTACTCACATAGAGAATTCTGGGCGACTCTTTGGGCATGTTTTGAGACAGAGTGTAGGGTGATGACAAGGCCCCTGGGCATCACGAAGACCCAGAACTACTGCTCCCCTCAGAATTCAGGGTCCTCGGCTTTCCAGATAATGTTTAAGAGGAGAAAGTGTTAGATTTAGTTAGAGTCAGCGATACGGGTGTCTTGTTTCACGTCTGCCCCTTTTATTTGTGTGACCTCAGACAGGTATGTCACCTCTCTCCCAATTTTCTTATTGGAACACCAGAGACAACAATCCCCATCTCACAGAAATGGTGTCGACAGCACCTGGGCCGGGAACTCCTCCAAGAAGCCACAAATAAAATGTCATGCGTCAAGACCCTTACCCCCACCTACCTCTGAAGGTGTCTGAGGTGAGTGTCTGCAGTAACTGGCTGAAAGCTCTTTTATGTGACCACTTCCACCCGGGGAGCGGGAGGGGAGGTAGTGGCTTGGAATGGGGGGCAGAGGAGCAGAAAAACAAAGTTCAAAGGCCCGGAACTTAACGGTGATTGGGCTGTGGCAGATCTGTAAGTTCTACCCAGGAACTACACGGTGGCCGTATCACAGACTCTTTCCTCTGATATTCTCCCATTCCAAAGTATCGGATTTTCTTTGATGTGAGCAGCACCTCCTGTAAGCTGGGAGGAACGCTGTGTACCCGAGTCAGCTCTGGCCACCTAAGCAGACCCAAGTCTAGACTCTTTCTGTGGCGCATCTGATTCTACCCAAAGGCGGGGAGTGAAGGGCAGTTTGTACAACTTGCTTTGTGCTAATAAGGTCCCACCCTCCTCTGTATTGATTCTCTTTTGCTATTGCAGGCATCACACTGTCTCCCACCAAATGCCCTGGGGGTCGTATGTGGATACAAAGAGACTGTGTAGGAAGGACTTTAGGAAAGACAGATGACCACCCAGCAAATGAGGGAAGGGAAGTGACGGAATCTATCACGAATCTTGGCAGTTTGTGAGGTGAGGGGCGGGGGGGTCTGCTCACCAAATATCAGAGAGGAGCAGTATATTGGGCACTCGTACCCGTGACTTGGAGCTGATTAGACAAAAGAGGAGAGTCAGGTGGGCAGGTCGGGCCAGGGCTCCCGAGGAGCAGACCTCCTTCTTGCAAACTCTGTCTCCAGGAATATTTCCTACACTGTCTGGAGACACCCATATACAAGCCATGTGCCCCAGGATGTGTCGGGTGCATCGAGCAGTGGGATTCCGGGGACTTGGCTGAGGAGGGTGGACTGTAT